CACATCGTACCTTGTCCTGTCAGCTCTCCAACCCTCTCTTCAGATCTTCAAATGTCTCTCTAGAAAGTCTCCAAAACTCTTCAAAACCTCGAAGAAGTAGCCCAAGTACCCTCATTGGCCCAAACTCCAAGACCAATGAGAATGAAGAGTGTTATTTTGACCTCTAGTGTGGCCAAATTAGCTCCATTTTCACTTAGAGCTTTACAACTATCGTGAACACACTACTTAGCCATCCTATACACGATACGAGTTACCACTAATAAAGAGTGAAAATGACAACTCAAAATCGGTTAAGTATGAACGGAATTACAAACGGAACCGGGGAGTTTATAATTTGAGAATAATACTCCTCGCCAAAGTTCTTAATAATCAACTCCCTATGGCTTATTTTCGGTAAACAATAGTGATGGATTGAAACCCATGTATTGAAAGCCATCACTACTGGTAAGTTCAGATCCATAGCGCCCAAACTAAATCAAAACGTATACTGTTACGTCCCAAATCGTGCCGTAGGAAATAATTGGAAGAATAATCGGGTCTCGAGAGTTTATCACTTGTTGTAGAAAGTTATCTCCAAAATGATACACTAACCACGTCCGAAAGTGATCACGATGAAGACACCAGATGTTGATCACAAATGGATTGGACATCGGTACATATGGAGGATCATGTTGTCCTCTATCCATGTCCTACGTCGGCTCCACTTCAATCAGATAAGCTCCTTAATCTGCAAAGTGATGTGTCTAGCTCTCTTCCATACCCTTTCCATCCTCATTGCGCTTTATATCTGATAAGGTTTAAGATAATATCTCTTGGAGCCTTTTCAACATCCTGACCCTACAAAGTTGATCCAGCGGTGGACTCTTAACAACCTTATAGTGCGCCATTGGTTATCCTAACCTAAAGTATCACCGTCATGACAACAGCTCTGAAGATGACACATGTCATCATCTTCTCATAGTAGCCGCGTCACAACACGACAACGTGTGTATTCGAAGTGGTCCAATCATAATCTTTGTGCATCTTTTCCACGTGTATCTTTTCCCCTTGCGAGGTAAAGAGACGATCTGTAAGATCCAAGTTTGTACATATAGGATAAAATGTAAGTATATATAAATTATGCCTAAGTTTATCTTAGTCATGACTATGTTTAGCTAATTATGGTTCAAGGATTAGATCCCATCACATGGGTATCTTGACTTTCATTGACTTAGACTAATTTTCATTGGTTGGACTTGGTGAAAACCCTTAAATCTAGGGGCGAGATTGACTTGATACACTAAAGTCAATTGGAGGGTAGTTGAACTTCTAGAAGATCCAAATAGACCAATTGCATGTTGCCATGTATCTTTTTCATTGGGATTTGTGATCACTACCTCGATTAAACTTGATAAGAGAAGGTTACATGATGGTTAGTTACTAGGGTAAGATTCTAAGTAGTATAAATAGAGAGGTTGAGAAGTACCTTTCAAGTTAGTTTTGGGAGAAGTTAGTTTTGTGATCTTAGTTTTGGAGAGATTTTATTTTGGGAAACTTGATTCTTGGAGAAGTCATGTTCAGGGTGGAGCCTTGATTCAATGAAGACTTTGATCACCAAAGTATCCTTTCTTTTTGAGTGATATATAACTCTATGTGAGAATTTGCATCATGGAGTTTGAACTTTGAGAGTTTGTGTGTAAGAGTGTGCATTAGGATCATGGTCATAGGGTGGAAACAAGTCTTTCTAGATTCATGATGAGCTTCCAAAAAAGCCATTGGAGGTAAAACTGAGTGAGAGTCAGTCCGGAGGTCACATATCACACACCAAACATAGTCTATCACATACCACTCTAGGCAGCCCCATGAGGGGAAGTGAAGCTATAGCTAGCAAAAAGAGAACAATAACGACACAAGGCATTTCATCATGTATTTCCTCCCACCTGCAAAACCACAGCCCCCTAATAGCCCACGTCACACGGGGAAATGCTAACTATCAAAATCATAAAATTTAAAAATATTTTTTATTCCTATTTCCATAATTTTCCAACTAGGTCACAATAGAACCAAGGCATGAAAAGGAACAGATTGGAAGAAGAATACCCTACCCATATGGCAAATTTGAAAAAAATCATTCATAACTCCAAAAATAATAAATTCAATAATATTTATCTATAAAATTCTCTATAATGTTGAATTTAGGGACCAGTGGAACTGAAATTGAAAAATAAAGAGAATTGTACATGTTTGGCAGAAATATAAGAAGAACTAATCTGGACTCTTATCCTATTCTCGTCTCTCTCTCTTTTGCTCCCCGGGGACCTTAAGTGCATATGAACATGGTGAATAATAGATGAGAAAATGTATCCAAGTATTGTAATTTTGACTTGTTGGAGATTCAGAGGTCTTGCATTTATCTAGGAACTCTATAAATGCAACTGTCCTCACCATTGCACTTATCGAGAAAACGTGTCTGAGTTTATCTGAAAACGTTATAAGTGTAAGGTTGAATTGTAGTTAGCAAAGATCTTCACTGTACACTTTGCCCGTGTCTTTTTTTCTGAGACTAACAACCAGTGTTTCACATATTGAGGGTAAACAACATATTGCACTAAGAGACAGTAAACTGCATTTTATTATAATTGATCTCCATCTTTAAATATTCGAACTCCCCCATTACTTCTTCAAGTTACTCCAACAACCACTTGCCTCCATGATATCAAACCTCATGCAATTCAATCAGAATGGAATTGGCATTTCCTACATCCAAAATTGTCATAAGTGTGTCATATATTCATTTGTGTGCATTTTTAAAAAAAATATGTCAACTTTTTTTCAAGACTCAAAGTCAAAAAATTACAGTTTTCTTTTGAATATTTTTTTTACAACTATCTTAAATTTTGAGTTTTAGGTAAATAATTATTTGAGATCTATGGGTAATATTGAATTTCAAACAATGATCTTTGTTCTGATTACTTCTTCATTGATTGCAAGTAAAACAGAAAAATGTTATTAAGGGCATGTAGATAATCATCTTATTATTTATGTACATTGATTTTGAACATAACATTTTTTTCTTCTTATGATAACTGTGAGATAATCTTCATCCACTACACAAAATGTTCACTTTGAGAGGTCCACTTAGATACTCAACATGTCGTAAGAGCATATTTAGAGGTTAAACAGTCTTTGACCCATGAACCAAAAAATAAACCCCATGTTTGTAGAATTTCAATATACCCCAAACTCATACTCTCCAACGGTTCACTAAACTGCTCGTCAAAGGTTGATGTGCGAAATGGTGCAATGGCATGTGGAATTAAAATTTTCAGGATCCGCTGACGCGCGCTCTCCTACTGAGATCGTCAATTTTATTTTATTTTATAATTCATTAATTTATTTATAGGCGAGGATGGAGGACTCAAAGCTGATTGCCAATCCTGCCAAATATCGCGGCTAAGGTAAGGGAGTCATTGTCATATATTCTCGTGCACATAATTTTCGATATCAGGTAAGTGATGGGACGCATAATTTGTATGTTCGGCACTAAAACCTGAGATATGGAGACTACATGCTCTGTTGCAAGTACCGCTGGAGAAGCTCTAACTACAGCATAACTAAACCTAGGAGCATACGAGATCTACGTCAAGAATTTCTCAAGAACGATATATGCTTAGGGGGATTTGAACTGACTAATAACTATCACAAGAAGAACATTAAGTTCGTCAAATTTGAAGAATTTATGAGAGATTGGGAATAACAAGAAAAATCAACTACTCGACCAGTTCCTGCTTCTTTTCTTTCTAATGAAATTGGAGCATAACTTCCTCGGATTTATAGTTCATGTCATATTTATTCAGTTGATGTTGAATTTAACAATTACCACATACTCAGCTGCTTTTGACACCAGATAACTTCAATGAAGAGTTAAAATTGTGACACCATATATATTCCCACAATGAATGCACTATAACCTTGAGGGAAGAAATTAGCTCACTTTGCTAACTATAAGCTGGAATCTCTAGAACCTACATGTAAATTTCATAAGAATTAGATTTGTAGTATCATGTCTTAAAATTTTAGTTTAAGGCGTTAGACATTCCGGTTCATTTGTCATGGCAATGGGGAATCTGTCCATGACGTTCATACATCTTTATTCTTCCAAGAACTTCATTGAATCTTGAAGTTGAGGTTTGCATGACTCTCCTTCGGCAACATAATGACGCCTATCTAGCATGGTCTTCTAATACGAGGCTTGGTTTTTTGTTGTTGCTATTCAGTTTTATTGGAAGAATGACTGGTTTATGGTTTGCGATCAACACGTAGATAATAAGCTCGATAAGCTTCTACATTTTTCCTCTTGGAAAGACGAGAACTCTTACTGTCGTTGGACAATTTCACCAGTTTTTCTTTTCAATTCATAGTTTTCTTAGCGAAACCTTTTAAAGACATGGTAGTCATCCATGAAAATTAAGTTCCTAGCTTGAAGGTGGTTAGAATACGAATCTTTCAGAAAGACTTAGATCACGGAGAAAAAATTGGCCCATAACATATTGTTGTATTTAGAAATTCCAGTTAACAGTTCTTAAATATGCCTCTGAGCTTAAATATAACGGTTTGAATATGAGTTTATTGGAGTCCTGCCACCAGTTTCAGAACTCGGTTTTTATCTCGAAACCAGCGGAACACCACCCGAGTTTATTAGAAAACTCTCAAGAGCACTGCTTAAAAGTAAGTCGAAACTTGGGGATTGTGTCTATCGCACTTCAATGTAGCATTTCGATATGGCATATTTAAAGGTTAAGTTAACAGTTTGGCACAGAGTGATCTGAGCATCTGACCGCATACATGCTGTAAAACCTGATCATGGTAACTGCATGAGTTGCAGCGCTTGCCGCTAATCATGTTTAGTCATCACGTCTTACCTTCATATAAATTGTTTGATGAGCTGTAAGTGTTGATTTTTGGATAGTAACTTTGAGAGTGCACTTAGTGTCAAAATGTAACCTCCATTCGGCCTGACACGAGCTGACCTAGCTCACCGGTAGATTGCCTGGCTTTTAACCACGTGGCCGTGGGTTTGATCCCCACGGTCGGCGAGTTCTGCCCCGGATCGTGTCCACGTAGTCTGTGCTGGTGACAGTCAACATGACTAGTAAAGAGTGGACGGAAAATTAGCTCTCATCAAATTAGAATTCATGTCAAGGCCGATGTTTCTCCCGTTTTAAAGGGAGTAGAAGTGCACCGATACCCCATGCAATATTTGTTGGGTAGCAGTGACGTGGACTTTTTCGACTCTTGTGTGAATACCATTGTGGGTGTAGGTGAAGGAAAGGGAAAGGAAAACTGAGGTTAATGTAAAAGGTTGTGTGCGGTGGGGTAAGTGGGGACTCAGAGCACATGAGGTTAGAAAAGAGAGTTCTTTTCCAGAATATTCTTTTTGTATATGAGTGAGTAACTTTCTAAAATTTTAACTTTTGGCGGTGATTATAAATAACTCTATTGCTCTATCGGAGGAAATTTATTTTTTTTGACATGGAACATCTGGGAAATTCCACAGAGAGGAAAGAAAGCTGGCAAACCATGGAAAACAGTGTGGTTTTTGTGGTGTGCCAGTATCTTCAAGGACAAGATGTGCAATATTTAAAAATCAAGGCACAAATTTGGTTCCACTGGAAATTTACGTCGGGAGGGAGTGGAGAATAGCATGGACAAAATTTGTGAAAGCCCAACCAAGAAAGTCAACCACATTGAAAACCAAGTTCAAACAAGTATGGGGACTATGAAGACTGGGAGTGGAGGTACACAATCAAATGCTTAAGACCCCGCAACACCCTTGATCTCACAACACTGAGGCAGAGCTATAGACATATCGCGAGCGATTCAAGACTTGCATGTTGCGTTGCAGTCTAACGAATGAGAACAAGCCGGAGAGCAACTCCAAGGATCACAAGATAAATGTCAGAATTGATTCACAAGAAATGTGTGTGGGAGTTATGTTAGATATTGTGTCGATAGTGCATGAGTTTCCTCCTATCCTTTATTATTTTTATCATAGTTACTTACAAAATCAAAAACCTATTCAAATACTTAGCCAAGACCTCTTTGTTTCACAGGAGGCGGACATAAGTTTGTTTTATTTGTAATACTAGATTGTTTGCAACTGACTCCCCAAGATTTTATATGATATATACATGGTACTTTCATCTTACTAAGGAAGGTTTCCAAGTTGAACGTAGAAAACAAAATTTTTGTTCACTTATGGTAAATAAATAATTTTTATAAAGTTAGAGGTAGATAAAGCATGTACAAAGATCAGTCATGGTTTATTCAAAGGGGAAAACAACATTAGAGAAGAATGGAATCTAAGTAGACCTTCCCAATTGCTGTGGGTCACAATTACTTGAAGTGCGTTTCCCCATCCATTTACAATAACCGAAGGTTAAAATACGTGAAATGAAACCAACAATTTACTTTTTTTTTTTCTTTACAATAAAACTGGTCAGAAATGTACGCAGTGTTGACAAAAACCTGAGTTCAGTGACATTAGATTGTCCACACTTATAGCTGAGGTGAATTCAAAGCTAATATTCATGGAAGATTTTAATATAGTGTTGTCTGAGCGTGGTGAGGTGAAAGAACTCGAGAAATTTGAGACGAGAATAAACCTTGGGTTGTCAATAATAGGAGATAATAGTCAAAACGATAACACATACACAACCTTTCACTAATATTAACGGCGATGGTTTTTACGCATATATAGTGTGTACACTACTTTGTTATCCACCCTAATTAGTGCCCACAGTAAATCCTCGTTGGGTCCTTATAATCTGGCACGGTGACCCAATTACTCTAAAAAACATTAGTTAAGGTTAAAAGTTTAATTAGAAAAAAATAACTGTTTATTTAAAAAGTTAATGACTATTAACTAAATTTAGGTGTTTTTCAAAAATAATATACTAAGATTAAGATGTGTCATAAGAGTAAAAAAATTCAAATTTTTTTTATGCATATAAATATTTGGAAAAAATAAAAGCTGATAATTTATCAATTTTATTATCCAAATCATAATAATTAATTATTTACTTGATAAAATATGATAAATTTATATAGTTTTTTGTTTTGTGTATTATGTGGTTACTGAAAATGACAGCAATAATCTTTACTGCATCCATATTTGGATTTAACACGGATGATGAAGAAAATATACAAGATAAATCCGGGACTTTGATTTTTAAAGTTTTCCTGGTATTAACTTTGGAAGTAATCTGCACTGACCATGTAATACATGCCGCAGCGACAGCATAATCAGGGCTTACAATAGAAGTATCTACAGAAGTCCTACACAAAGTCCCTACACGAAGTCCAGCAGCAGAGATGAATCAGGCTGAGTGAATAGAATACATGCACAAAACTTCATAAATTCATGGTAGACAAACATTGTTTTATGTTCGTGATCTGTATCGGATGCCTTTATGAGAATCTATGCGGACATGACTCCTCAAGTTGTTAGACAAAGTCACAATCTAGTCTGGCAGAATATGCGTGCTTAATTGGCCTGGCAGCACGCTAGGGCTACATCTGGAGGTCAGGATTGAACTTATGGGTCTTCCATCTCTTCCTGCTTGACATCACTTTAATCCGGTCCACGTTGAGGTGACGACTTCAATTCACAAGAGGTCGACTATTCTCCATTGTAAACGATGACACTGACAATTCTCCATTCTAGACGGTGACATTGATTCACTTGCGTACCACCGCTGGTCTTTTAGCTTACAGTATGAGCTAATTTTCATCGCATATGAAGTCAGCAGGAAGGAAGGAAAGAAGATAGAGAGAGAGAGAGAGAGAGGAAGGGAGGGAGAGGCAGGGTTCACCCATATGAGTAACAGAAAATAGTGTGGCGACGCTGGGTTACCCCTCGCTTCATAGTAATCAAACTTTCGGACTTTGTTGCAGTTCGTAGAGCAACTGTATTTAACTGTATTACAGCTGCGTACCACTCGCCTTTGCTGTTTATTGTAGGCTTAGCACTTGCTGACACTTTGGTCTACTTGTTGATTTTATACAAAGTGAAGACACAAGGTTTTCATTGGATTACAATTATAGGCTCACCGCTTGATTAATCGCGATCAAGCCTTAGAACTTCGTGGCAGTTCATAGCTTAAGTGTATTTGATTGTTTCTGTTGCATACGATCCGTATCTACCTGCTCACAATTTGATTTGCTCTGGCTCTTTCTCATCACACAGTCTAAGAGAAAGACGAAGCCCTCTGAGTGACAGACTATAGTGTGAAGACTGTTAAAAGTCGCTTCGTTCATCACGATTAAGCTCTCGAATTTGGTTGCAGTATGTAGCGTGACGTTGTTTGACAAAATTGCAAGTTTCTTCTATTGTACCTCCTCTTTTCTTGCAATATCTTTGCTTCTGTTTTTCTCTTACACGCTCGCTTCAGGGTTCCTCTGCCCTGTTGATGCTACCCTTTGACAATTCATGTGTACACTAAATTAGGTTCATCGAAGTAACTTAGCCTGCATTCTATCTCATTCGATGTACCTAGTGAAGAGTATCCATGGTAGCAAGTTCAGCATATTCAGTTCTTCCTAGGTAGCATGCTCTTTGCTTTGAAATGATGCGAAGTGCACGCGCTCTCCATACGGTAATCTCAAATGTAACCTGCAGGGAGTAAATCGATGCTTCTGCTGAAATTAATGGTCTGAATCTGCTGCTATGGATCCAGTGGGAGAGTTCTGATGTGTTATTACAGTCACTACACCAGGGCCTATCAGAAAAGTCTTTAGAATTTTCAGCTGCTTCAGCTTCTCGAAGGTAGTTCACCAAGAGCAGCTGTACTTGATATGCGATGCAATTCACAGACACATTCAATGCTCTTTCTTTTCGTTGGCATAGAATGTGATTAGACATCTTTCATCAGAAGCAATCAGAATGCAAAACATTCCCGGTTCGAGATCTGTCACATGCCTCGGATATAGGTACAGGAGGGTACGTTTACCCATTGCACCAATACAGACACTGGCCAATTGATGAGCAGTCCAGCAGGCTGTACTTGCGCATGATGCTGATCAGTTCATCGACAGAGCAGCCAGGCGGATTTCTCCACGTGACAAACGCATTTAATTTTTTCATATGTGAGAGTCTAATCGTGACGGACCTTGAGTACACAAACTAGTTTTGTATCGCAATCTAGGCATGCTGCCGGATCTTCAACACAAAAGCCCTACATTCCTGAGCGAATCATGCACAAATGGGACACGGGACACATTTTCAAGCATCTATCTGAACGATGCGTCTAGAGGACAGGCAATATATACTGTTGCCCAGGGCCTGGAGAGTCCAGAAATCACTGCTGAGGTCGCGACTACTCAAGGCACTCCACTGCAGCAGTTGAGTTTTTTGTTGGCTTGTTTACTTTCAGTCGTGTAAGCGGAATGATTTAGCATGATGTTCAAAAGCCCCAGGTCTTTTGCCAGTCAGTCGTGCAAATTTCACCTGCAATGAAGCAGGTCGCTCGTCACCTGGTTTCACGGCTCACCTGGCTCATGAGGTTATGTGACTGCTAAGGCAGCGGGATTGTAGGCCAGCTGAGATTCCTTTCTTTGACTGGGTATCTGTGAATCGCCAGAACATCTGAAGCCTAGAATTATGAAAATTCTAAATACATGTGCTGTGTGCAGTAGACATAGTGCTGAGTCTCCATGCAGCTGGCTGGAGAATATCGTACTGTTTTTGTAGTGGAGCCAAGGAACAGAACTCACGGCCACGAGTCGCTACGCTTGAACAGCCAAAGACATGGCATTTCTTACTTGTGAAATGTCAACTGGTGCGCCACTTGCACCGAGTAACGCTCCCCAGATCCTAAGCTGCAGGAGAAAAATGTTTAAGAAACAGTTTGCACCAATTGGGGCTGCACAATTGTATCCAAGCGAGGCTGAAGTGGGACCTCAACAGCTTTCGCGAACGTGTCCGGACTACTTGACATAATTCTGTCATATATAAGGTGCGCATGGCCTATTTCAATTCATCCAAACATTCACAAGTTCAGCTAGTAGTTGTTTCCATTTCGCTTCAGCAGCAGCAC